CCCCGAAACCTCATTTTCAGCTAGTGACATGTCTAATGAAGAAAAAGCAATAATTTGTTGGTACAATAATAGGGGCTGATGGGAGGTCTGGGGATTAATCAGTGAGTGCTTCCCTGAAGCGGTGAGTGTCATTCAAACTGAGATCAGAAAGCTGAGAAGAAACGGCTGGGAGATCTACAAAGACAGCTTTCCAGACAGCGGGGACAGCCTGTGCAAAGGCCCTGAGACACGTGGCTGGAATAGGGTGGGCGAGGGGGACTGAGGGAGTGGGGAGGTAGGAAAGGGGTCCAGACAGGCAGGGCCTCACAGGAGAAAAGAATGTATTTTTTTTTCCTGAGACAGGGTCTTGTTCTGTTGCCCAGGTTGCATTGTGATGGTCCAATCACAGCTCACTGTAGCCTCGACCTTCTGGACTCAAGCCACCCCCTCACCTCGGCCTCCCAAGTAGCTAGGACTACAGGCTTGCGCCACCACACCCAGCTAATTTTTTTGTATTTTTAGTAGAGACGGGGTTTCATCACATTGGCCAGGATGGTCTCGATCTCCTGACCTCGTGATCCTCCCACCTCGGCCTCCCAAAGGGCTGGGATTACAGGTGTGAGCCACCACGCCAGACCTATTTTAACCATTTTTAAGTGCACAGCCCAGGAACATGACGTATACGCACGGTGTTATGTAGCTATCACCATCCTCATCTCTAGAATTTTCTCCTCTTCCCAAACTCAAACTCTGTCCCCATAAACAGTCACTCCCCAGGCCCCTTTCCCAGCCTTATGAGTTTTAAGTGGGACAAGAAGCCATCAGAGAGTTTTAAGCAAGGGATGTGAGCTGATTTCACTTTCAGGGATCGTTTGTCACTGTGTCACTACATTTCACAAGCCTTCCTCCCTCTCAGCCCATGTTGATTAAGAACTACTAATGACTGGGCTCTGGGGACAGGGCAGGGCACAAGACAGACCGGGTGCCATGGCTTATGTCTATAATCCCAGCACTTTGGGAGACTGATACTGAGAGGATCCCTTGAGTCCAGGAGTTCGAGACCAGCCTAGGCAACATAGAAAAACATTAAAAAATTAGCTGGGCATGACAGCGTGTGCCTGTAGTCACAGCTACTTGGGAGGCTGAGACAGGAGAATCACTTAAACCCAGGAAGTGGAGGTTGCATTGAGCTGAGAGAATGTCACTGTACTGCAGCCTGGGTGACAGACTCTGTCTCAAAAAAAAAAAAAAAATTAGGTATGGTGGCACATGCCCATAGTCCCAGCTATTGGGAGGCCTGCAGCCCAGGGTTCAAAGCTAAAGTGAGCGGATTGTACCACTGTGTGCTCCAGACTGGGTGACAGAGTGAAATCCTGTCTCAAAAAAAAAAAGTGCACAGTGGCTCACACCTGTAATTTCAGCATTTCGGGAGGCCAAGGCCAGTGGATCACATGAGCTCAGGAGTTCCAGACCAGCCTGGGCCACATGGCAAAATCCTGTCTCTACTAACAAATACAAAAAATTAGCTAGGCATGGTGGTGCCTGCCTTTAGTCCCAGCTACTCAAGAGGCTGATGGGGAGTATCACCTGAGCCTGGGATGCAGAGGTTGCAGTGAGGTGAGATCTCACCACTGCACCCCAGCCTGGGTAACAGAATGAAACACTGTCTCAGGAAAAAAAAAAAAAAAAATTAGTCATAGGTGCAGATAAAGGTGACATATCATACTTAAATATTTAGAACTCAAAAAGAATGCAAGCACTCTGTAGCCAAATCCATGGGATGCAGCCAAAGCTAGTCTCAAAGGGAAATTCGTAGCCCGCAAAAAATGCATTTAATAGGAAATGAGGAAGAATGGAAACAATAGCATGGATGTCAGATTCAGATGAAGAAAAAAAAGAGCAGAAGGAGCCCTCGGAGATTTGAATTCAGCTTCACAGATGGGGAAACTGAGGCCAAGAGAAGTTAAGTCACTTGCTGAAGGTCACAAAGCAAAGCTGTTCACGACAGAGCTGAAACTCAGAAGCAGGTTTGGTTCTTCCCAAGCTGCTGTCCAAAGACCATAGAGACGTTTGGCATTAGTCATTATTGAATTGTATTTTTTTTTTTTTTTTTTTTTTTTTTGAGGTGGAGTCTCGCTTTGTCACCCAGGCTGGAGTGCAGTGGCACGATCTTGGCTCACGGCAACCTCCTCCTCCTGGGTTCAAGTGATTATTCTGCCTCAGCCTCCCAAGTAGGTGGGACTACAGGCCTGTACCACCATGCCTGTCTTACTTTTTGTATTTT